AGTCGCCAGGCTTTGCCTCCCCACCACTACTACTACCACCAGTTCTACTCATGCCTTATGTTTGGATGAGATATCAACCTTTTTCAGGGCATTTTACAGAAAACCTAATGGTACGAAGAAACAGCGGTCGCCACCAGCGCTTGTATTACGACTGTTCCATTTTGTGGTAATGGAGTAATACACAGCATGGAAGAAGTGACGCCCAACACCTTACTTTTAAAAAGTGGTGCCCAATCAGCATCTCTTCAAATTCCTGGTTATGGGAGTTTGAATTATTTTTTGTAGTGAATTGTTTCATCTATCACTATCTTTTATAGTCAATATCGAGTGTATTTTATATTTTTTTTCTCCATATCTCAAAGGATCTACATGTCAATAAAGTATCGATCTATCTATCTCGTAGAGGCAAACTCGTCATTTTCTATACTGTATTTAAGTCCATTCAAGTAGTGATTTTGTCAAGTTTTGAGTTTGATTTCTTGCAGATACGACCAGTGCATTGAGCCAAAAGCCGCGGGTCATATTTGAATGAGTTGCTTACCTTTTCGGGGTCTTCAGCAGGAAATCTGGAAATACGGAGGAAACAGGGTCCAGACTTTATAAAAAAATATGCTAATGGAGGATCACACTTTTATTCTCTGTCCATGCAAACTTTCAAATTGTCCATAAAGGTAGGCTTCGAGTCACTGAAATCACTCGGTACAAAAGTAGTGTGGGCAGGACAAAGGGGCAAAATAAGTCTTATTTAAACAATCTGAATTGTCAAAATATAAAACATTACGAACCTGCTGCTACGAGAAATCACAATCCTCAAATAGCACTACTTGGCCTCCACTTTTTAAAAGTAAGATATTGGTCAGTACTTCCTCCATGCTTCATTCCAGTGCAACAAAGTGGAGTGGTAAAGGCAGACCCTGCTATCTTCGAATTTAAAAATTTCTTGCAAAATGCCCCGTAAAAACATGACAACTCGTTCAAATACTTTTCGCTGGATTTTAGCTTAACATATAGATATAATCGACAATAAATTGAAGCCAAAATCTGAAGTAGTCAAGTCAACGCTCGGTCTGAACATCATGTACTTAATTAGTGGTATACAACTAAGCTAAAGCAATTACAGTTCAAACTAGATGACATTTTCGTCAATCTTACTACATTCAAGACTCCTCATCTAAGCGATAAGTATTGTACAAAACAACAAACGACAATTCAAAGCGAAAATCTGGGAACCAGAACGGAAATACATGATGGACCCTGTATACAAAAATCGTTTCCAATCTCTTGATTCCCGGTGTTTCTAGAAAATGCCAGATGTTCGAAATGGGTATATAAGCAGCCAGCCGCTTCTCGGAGGATCAGCATTAGAGTATTCAGCAGTGGATATATGAGCGAAGCAATGCCGTTGCGATCCTGTGTGAATCATCCGAACAGTTTCTGTTATATTTGTGGTGAGGTGACACTGAAAGCCCACTTGTAAGAAACGCCTACGAGTTATATTCCGGGTTCAAAGTTGCCTCACAAAACATGCTGCCGTACTTAGCAGAACCTTAGCAGGATGACTACGGGGTACTCACACTTCTATGAAATTTGGAGTGCCAATGATTTGGCGGGAACATAAGAATCATGTTGATAATTGATACTTTTGCTTAACAAGAATTCTGGGATTTTCTAGTAAAAGCAAGCATAAAATAGCGCATCCTAATATCCCCTCAGCCATTAGACCTGTACCTCAAGACTTTACTAGCATACCTGTTCCTAAGCCTCCAAAGAAATACGATGAACCAGATAATTCTAACACAGACGAGCCAGAAGCCGTATTGAAGAGGAAGTCGTTTTCGAATGTAGTAGCAGCAAACAGCCACATTTTATATCTCAGGAAGCGCTCAATGATCTAGTTCGTGATTTAATCTTCCCAAAAGAAAAGCACAACTACTTGTATCTCGTTTGCAGCAACCTTTTACAAACAGGTGTGAACATTTCCACGTTTCGGAACAGGCAGTCTATGCTGGCCATATTTTTCTCAATGGAAAATGACTTACATTGGCGCTCCCACGGAGGGCTAAACGGGGTAATTACCCCCCCCCCCCCCAGACGAATCGAGCAGTCTTTGAAAAAATGGTATAAAGTAAACGTCTTATAAAAATGCGACTAGCGACTACTCTCCCACCAACAGCAACGGTGTGCGCTTCTTCCTGCTGGAACAGGTATAGTCTAGTCTTTTATGGTCTAGTCTTTTATGGTCTAGTCTAGTGTCTAAATTCTGTACCAGTCCAGAGTCCGCAACAAAATTTGGCTGAGAAGTGAACAAGCGGAGTTTTGTTGATCTGGTTGGAAAAATGAAAATTTAATATAATTTCAATTACGAAGTGTTTGGTCCATACTCCAGCTATCATTAGCATCTATGTCTATTTTGTCTCGGAAGTCCCTGCATATAAGCACTTCAGCATTTCGTTCATCCGAGATGGCAAATTATATATTTAGTGTTTGAAAATTGCGTGAACTTAAGAAATCTTGTTTTCCAAACAGAAAAGGTTCTTTGTTATGAGATACATGAATGCGTGAAAACAAATAATGCCGTTTATTTGACAATATTTATGTAACTGTTAGTGCTGGTTGACGGCTGCTGTTGTCAACATGAGTAAAAGGAAACAGAATACCATCGATTGGTTCCTTTCTAAACAAAACAAACTGATCGACCGGCACAAGAATTACCGGAAAAAACTGATGATAATCCTACAATTCCACCTGAGCCCTCCACTTCAAAATTTGTTGATGTTGCACCGTATGCTGAACCAAGTGTTGAACAATCGGGTGCGAAACCTAAAGGATCCAATTTTGTTGATGTTGGGCTATATGTAAATTTCAGCAGCAACTTGTCTTCCCATGAAAAATATACCTTATTGAGGTGTGCAATGATCCCTAATGACTCTTTCAAATATCCCTGTTCCACACACTTGAAAAATAATAAAGAAGTGAAATGTTACTTGTCAAAAAAATACTTTGAGAAATTTCCTTGGCTGCCATATTCAGAGGACCTACAAGGGCTTTTCTGTAAATATTGCGTGGTTTTTGCAAAATTAGGAGGAGTACATAAATCAACTGAATTGGGAAAACTTGTTACCGTACCTCTAAAGAAATTTTCGAAATTGTATGGCAAAACCGGTGTTTGTGAAACACATGAGAACTCAATATTATCATACATAAGCAGTTTCAGACGCTACAAACTTTTTAAAGATTTACGAAAATCCAGAGAATGATATAAGAAATATAATAGATTCAGAGCGAATTGAGCAAGTATCAGAAAATCGGCAAAGATTGACTCATATAATAAAATCTATCATTTTTTTAGGACGCCAAAATATACCACTTAGAGGGCATAGAGGTAGGGGATGACTTTTTTCTAATGACAGCACGAATGACGAGGATGTCCTTAATAATGAAGGGAATTTTAGAGAACTAATACGGTTTAGAGTCGAGAGCGGCGACAATTTATTGAAAAAAAAACTTAGAGAACTCAAAAGCGCATGCTACGTACATAAACAGTCGCATCCAAAATGAAATTATAGAATGCTGTAGCAAAGAAATTTTGGATATAGCTTTAAGTCGCGTAAGGCAAAGTCAGTATTACAGTATTATATTTGACGATACTACAGACATTAGCCATAAATCACAAATGTCAATCGTTTTGCGGTATTGTTATCAAAAATATATTTACGAGGACTTCATGGGATTTGTGGATTGCTACTCAAATTTTTATGAAGATACAATGGAGCCCAAACTTACAGGTCAAATTCTTTGCTCAAACAGGCAATCATTTCATCAAAACCAATAAGACTCAAAACTATGTGTCGGCATTGGTACTGATACGTGTAAACTGATGTTAGGTGAACAAAAGGGCGCTATAATGGCATTGTAAAAATGTTTGCCAAATGCTCTAAAAAGCCCATGCGCAAATCCTGCCTTGAATCTTTCAATTTCAAAAAGCAGCAGTGTCCAAGAAATACTGTAGGTATAATGAAGGAAGTAATTAATGCGTAGGGGAGACCGGGGCTGGTAGCCGCACTTTTTTGAATTTATTTTATGACGGCTACTATAATTAATATTTTTTAAAACCCATTGTTGCCGTGAAAAGTCCTATATATTTTCAACATAAAATATTTTTTTTTGTTTTCTTATCTCATATCGTTTTGATACAAATATATATTTCCTTCAGTAAAGCAGAGTGCGGCAACCTACCCCTCTAACGGGGTTGGTTGACGCACCACATGGGATAGGTTGCCGCATACAAAAATGATTGTAAAAAAATAAAGAATGTGTGATTTTTTATTTTCTAATATTAAATTTTGACAAAAAAAATGTTTTTATTTTTTTTTTAATCAAATAGGTACATTTTTTAAACCTAAAATTATTAGAAAATTTAACTAATGAACTCAGGTAACAAAAAGTAAAACTAAAAAAACAGTCAAAGTTATCGTTAAGTGTTAAACTTATAAGAAAATTAGGTAACTAACTCTTTAATGAACTTAGGTCACAAAGACTTAAAATAAAAAATATTAACATTTTAAGTTACAAACACTTCTCTACTCACTCATACAATTAATACAATAAAAAGGAGCGTAATCTTCTCCCACACATTCTTTGTGTGCCCACCCACTGCATGAAAAACATCTAATCCATTCCTCACCCGGACGACTGTTTGTAAAAGTATCAAGGCAGTAAGCGCATAGACACTCATCTTCATCGCTCGATTCTTCAGCCAATTGTTTTTTATTTACATTTTTCTTCTTTTTATTTTGTTTTTTGTTTTCTTTGTTATTTTTAAGCTCTTTTCTTATTGGAACTTTTTTTGTTTGTTCATCTCTGAGTGCCTCTTTTATTGGCGTATCTGTCAAAATCTCGGTGTGACGCCTTTTTCGAGTTCCTTTATTCTCATTTTTTCTTGGTGGAGCTTTTGGCAGGGGCTTTAGCTCAAATGGACTGACTGTTTTTTTTTTGGGTGTTCACTCGGTATCTTCTTTGGCTAATATGTTAATATTTTTAATTATTTGCTTTTCCGGAGTTTTTTCTTCGAGCGGTGGGTTTATCTCAGAAGTTTTTGGCATTGAGCTATCAGCGTTGAGAATTTCAGAATAATCCCGAGATGTTCCTGGTTGGGGACTAGTATCCTGAGATATTTTAGGTTTAGGGCTATTATTAGGTTTCCTGTCAATTTCATCATCTTTTGCTTGCTCAATAAGTGGGCGGTCAGTAGCATAAGAGGGGAGAAATTCGTCTTCAGAAAAGACACATTCATTGAATGGATAAACTCCTGACACTTTAAACCCTGCTGTTATGTTCTTTGGTGTTATTGCGCTTGGCAAAGCTACGGCCACAATTTTAGGGACATCGTAGATGGTCATACTAGACCCTGGATGACTGGTTATCCAACCATCGCATGCTGTACTTACATATTTTTTTAAGGGCCCATACACTGATCTGCCCAGCGGCTGTAGCTTGTGAGAGCAGTGTGGCGGAAAGGACAACACCGTCACTCCATTCTCTTTAAGATAGTCCAAAGAATCAATTGATAAATGGGAGTCATGGTTGTCTATCAACAGAAGTACCGGCCTTTCTTTGGAGCAACCAGTGTGCTTAACAAAATGTTGATATAGATATATAGATAGGACGTCATAAGGGTGGAGCTAAAGGGAATAAGTCGAGAGTAGGCGTGAAAGTGAAAAGTGGATACAGGTTAGGTTCAGTTAGATGCAAATGTGAAGCTGAGGTAGGGATAATGAGCGTAAAAGTTGAAAGGGAGATTTCCAGATAGAGATAGCTAATAAGGATGAAAAGCGGTAAACAGGAAGTTGCTCGTCATCACAGTAATACGGGGATTTACTTTTGTTTTACCCTTGTTATTTTTCTATTTACGTGGAATACGAGTAACTTCTATAGTTTATATACGTATACGTATATATAAATAAATACATTTTTGCGTCGCAACAATATGATTTAAAATCCAAAGTGGGGATGGTTGCCGCATGCGGCAACCTGCCCCTCAACAAATGCGGCGACCGACCCCAAAGCGTTTTTTAAAATACTTTTGCGTTTATTTTTTGTCTGGTAACTAAAGTGGTTATTAAAAATATGTTACTAAAAAATAGATTTCCGTAGAATTCTGACGGTCTACTTCGTTTTATATTCTTACTTTTACATCAAAAGTTATAATAAAAACAATAGAAAAAATAAATTCACTTACGAGCATCAAAATAACACTTGACGGCGTGCACTCACTTCTATTGCACTGATCAGACTGAAACGTTCCACAAAGTTCGGGCGCGACTTAAGCTTTAAAACACGAGACGCGGCATTGTCGCCATATTTATAGTTTTGGGGAAAAAGCCAGTGCGGCTACCAACCCGTGCGGCTACCAGCCCCGGTCTCCCCTACTTGAAAGCATCCGCTAAAAGAAATACAGTATTAAAAAGAAAACTAGACGAATATCAAATTCATAGTATGTGCGAAACACGATGGACTGAGAGACATGATTCTGTGCTCCAATTTGAAAGCAAATTCGAGGAAACTGTAGAGGTATTAAATTAAATATTATATCAAATTGGAAAGGCTTCTCTAAAAGCGGAGTCTTTGAAGACTGCCAATACTTCCACCGAATTTATCGTATCACTAAAGTGTTTGTGTGATATATTAGCTTTAACAGTCAACCTGAGTAAGATTTTACAATCAAAAACATTTGACAAACAATACGCTGTCAAACTCATAGGAAATATTATTTCAGTTGTTCAAGAAAGACGCGCAAATTCCGAAAAACACTTTAGAATACTATTCGCATCTATAATGAAATCACATGAAACCCTGGGTATGGAACTGATTGTGCGAAGAATAACAAGTAGGCAAATGAACAGACCAAACTTAGTTACGTCTGACAAGAAAATCATTACAGTTTGAACCTATATGTCCCTTTGCTAGATAATACATTACAGGATTTGGTATACTGGTTCAATGAAGAATCTTTGAATATATACAATTTTAATATTTTCTTTGCGTCAGTATTTAATTCAAAAACTGAAGCTGAAATAATAGACATATTAGAAAGAATCTCTAAATATTTGCATGGACTAAATAGTAACGAAAACAAAAATTTTGTAAGTACCAGATTAAAAGCAGAATTTGACCTTTGGAAGTCATGTACACAAGATATTATAAACAGTGGAATGTCACTGTATTTATCATGTGATGAAAACATTTTTCCTTCAAGTTACAGATGCCTACAATTACTGATTTCATTGCCGGTAGGTGTTGCGACATCTGAAAGAAGTTTCTCCCATCTAAGAGGATAAAAACTTAGCTGCGCTCCACTATGTTACAAGAGCGATTAGTGGGTTTAGCTCTTTTGTATATGCATAGGGATTTTAAAATAGACGTGAATACAATCATAGATCGGTTCGCCAACAAAAAGAATAGGCGCCTTGATTTTGTAATATGATAACACCTGAACTTTGCCTAAGGTTGTCTCTCAAATCCATCTCCCTTCTGTTGGCCAATAAATAAAAAAAGCAGATCCAGTTAAGGGTTTACTTAGGTTTAAACCACCACGTTAATCTTTTCCAAAGCATCCAATCAAGGTATGTGGTTTTATTTATTGGCCAGCAGATTGATATAAAAGTCTGTTCAAATTCTGTTCAAATCACTTTCTAAGCTAATGTAATGATTGTTTTATTTTGAGACTGTGAACTGATGTAGTTTCATGGTTTATATGTTTTTGTTTTTTGAGACTGGCTAAGAGAATGTAGTAATGCAATTAATATTTTTTGTGTTTTTCTCATGATTAAGAATTATATTTTGATTCACATTCAGTTTTATACTTTATAGAAGTCGTAACATATTTATTGTTATTTTTTTCATGAAGATGTATTTTTTGTTGTTTTATCTGACATTGTTATGTAGAAAAGTCTGTGATAGATTATATTATTTTGCATTTTTGGTTTAATATATGAATTGTATGTATTTTCTACAGAAATTACTGTAACAAATTCATATGCCTGCATATGTCCATGCTTTTAATGTTAAATCATTATAACACTTCAGTACGTCACACTGAGAATTGACTTTCCACTTTACCCCTCCCAGACTGAAATCATGAGAGTGCCACTGATGACTTAGTTCACTGTCATGATATTCCAGGTTCACGGAATGAACTTGGCTTTTGCTATGTACCTACCTAGTGGCGACTATTTATTGACTCTTCGAACACAAGTCTAAAGGCAGTTAGTTATGTTGTTCAATGGAAACGAACGGCCATTAGTTCCCGTTGGTCATGCTGTAAATATGAAAGAAACATACGAGAACCTGCGCATATTACTCCAAAGGATAAAATACGAAGATCATAAGTGGAATAATTGTACCGATCTCAAAGTTATGGCATTGCTCACAGGATTGCAGAGTGGCTTCACAAAATATTGTTGTTTTTTATGTGAATGGAACAGCAGAGCCAGAAACCAACATTATTAGTACATTATATAGTAAAACATTGGCCGTTTCGTGAGAATGTTGGGCCCGACCAGAAAAATGTCCTTATTGAACCCTTAGTAGATCCTCAGAAAGTTTATTTACCTCCTCTGCACATAAAACTAGGAAAGCCTTAGATAGAGAAGGAAATGCGTTCCTTTATTTGAGACGGAAATTCCCGCGTATAATTGAAGCAAAGCATAAAGAAGGAATTTTCGTTGGACCTCAAATACGAGAACTTTTTAAGGACCAAAATTTTAAAACTTCACGTTCGAGAAAGGACAAAAGCCCTGTGGTGCCTTCAAAAATGAATGTAGCAACTTCCTAGGCAACAAAAAGTCGGACAACTACAAAAATTTTGTTGAAGAACTTATCCAATCTTGTAAGGCCTTAGGTTGCAATATGTCATTTAGAAATCTCCCCTGACTATTTGGGTGCAGTTTCAGACGAGCATGGCGAAAGATTTCACCAGCAAATTGCTTAGATGGATGAGCGCTATAGAGGAAAATGGACCTCAAACATGCTGACGGACTACTGCCGGGCAATTAAACGTAAAAAAGTGGATTTGTTATTTTTTTTATTTTTAAAAATTCACCACTAGATCGTTTACAATTTGGGATTTTTATATTTATATTCTCCCTTCTCTAAAAACTTGTGGATGATGGGCAGAAACTGACTGCATATAAGATATCAGTACAACACAGTAGACGCAAAAAACTCGAAGAAATTTCGGAGAGCGACACAAATTTTTAGAATGTCGAACAGTAAAAATGGTCTTTGGTACCTTCCATGGGTCCCATAGTCAATTGATTGTTGGATTTGGAATGTAAGCACTATGCTTACCTAGGACGCAAGATTTTGTAGACTTTACAAATACGCATAAGACTTTTTAAAATCCAAAAAATCGTAAGGAGTCGAATATGAGACAGAAAACTGGCAGTTTGGGATTCCATTTAGGCTTTGACGTTGGGATCTGACTCTTAACAGTGGTCTCAAGATATTTTCCAACGGATTAAAGGCTTTCACTTGCTTGGAGGTTGAAGGCAGTTAATTAGTAGATGTCTTATACGAGCCCCTTCCCACTTCAGTTGGCCCAACTATTGAAATCTTAGTTTCTTTCTTATCAAACACAAATAATAAAAATGTAGTAGGGTGTTATAGGTTTAAAATATTAACAATGAATATTTTGATAATATATAGTAGAAAACACTAACTTTATCACTCCCTAATCAAATTTGCAGCATAAAAATAACACATGTTGCAATTACAGCATATCAACCTATTTTCATTTCAATGCAAAATAAGTCTATAACGCATAAGAGGCTGAAAAAAATAAAAGCCATGACAATTGTTTTTATTAATCACAGCTGTCAGAAGACATTTAAAATAGTTTTGGGTAGTTAAGGTTTTCGAAATGGGTAGAGGAAAGGTTATTAGTGAGAAAATTCGGTTACTGATAATTAAATTTTTTAATTCTGGGAAATAAAACTCAGAAATTGCAACATTGTTAGACTTATCGAGGTGCAGTGTGAGAAATATTGTTAGAAGATATAACGTAACTGGTTCAGTTAATATTAAGCGACGTAAGTTTTCTTATAAAAAAAGTGAAGTAAAAACCCTAAAGCTGCACAACTTGTTTATAGGCCAAAGAAAAGCCACTATTAACTCCACTGCAAAAGAAAAATTGGCTTAGATGGGCTAAAGAACATAGACAATGGACATGGTGTGCAATACAATGGAGTGATGAGGCCCGATTCGAAGTTTGTGTTGGTGACAGTCGCAGCATAGTTATTCGCCAAAAAATGAAGCATTCCATGTTGACTGTCTGAAGAGAAAAGTGAAATTTCCAGCATCCATTATGGTTTGGGGCAGTATGTCATCAAAAGGAGTAGGAAAACTTCATTTTATTGATGGAAATGTGGATACAAACAAATATTTGGCAATTTTAGAAGAATCGCTTTTACCAGTGATGGAAGAATGTTTGACATCCGGCCAAGATTTTGTGTTTCAGCAACATGGTGCAGCGTGCCATACCTCAAAAAAGGCTATAAAATGGATGGAAGAAAATAATACCTCCTATCCTACTCGTACAATCACCGAACTGAGACAAAAGCTTCAAGAAATATGAGATTGTTTTACACCAAATTTTTGCCAAAACTTGGCTAACACTATGCCCCAAAGAATTTCAGCCGTAATAAAAAATAAAGGTGATGCTATCCAATGGTAATCTTTCAATTATTGCTTTGTTAACTTCGCGCATTTTCGCACATTGCTTATTTGTTCAGATGTTTGATTAGTTATAGGTCTAAGTGATTTCAAATATGTATTTTTTACGACTAGAGTGTATCTAAAATGTTTTTGAGAAAATAAATTGTTTTAGAAGTAAATATAGTAGTTTCGTCATGTTTAGTTTATAAAGGCATATTTTGGTACAAATCTTGAAGTGGGCCAACTGAAGTGGGAAGGGGCTCGTATAATAGACCAAGAAGACCTTCACAAGCCATCTTTTAATATCGTGCTCCGAAAGTAATTTGACCTTCTTCTCATCATGTTACCCAATGCCTCACACGCCAAGTACCCACCAATATGAAATGTACCACGATTTCTCAGCCAACCAGTTTTGTATTAGATGTGCAAGAGAAGGAAGGCTGGCGGGATCACGCTCCGTGAACTAGGTACCAATAACAGTGGTACCATAAGTGGTGCCAACAGTCGACCTGCACGGCTGCTTGTGCGTTTTATGAATTTTCCGTCGCGCGAATCAGACCCAGATATTAGTTCGCCGCTACGAGGATACACTCCACATGTGAGTATCGTGTGTAGACTTAGTTGCTGCAAAAGAAAAATGAAGAACATATTATATGATCAAAAATCCTAACTAACACCCACATGCACAATTACATTTTATGTAATTCTTTATCAGTGTCAACGTTTTGCTGAAACTTAGTACAGGGAGACTAAAAATTTGATGATCGGCTAAGAGCCAATCCTCCAACTACGCAACTACTAATGTTGAAAAAGTGTAATTTCAGTAATATCCACTACTTAAGATTTTTTCAACTTCTCTGAATTGTTACAACACAAAAAAATGAAAACCAGGAGGGTTATTTAATGAAATGATATCAAAAACCTACCAAATACAAAGTTATAGCAAGAGATATTTCAAAAGCCATTCAGGTTTGTCGAAAAACGAATTGTGACTGCAAAGGGTAGAAATTTTGAACAGATAATGAAAAGATGGTTGCATGAAGGGGTGCTGTGGAATCAATTTCGAGAGAAACATCTCTCTCTCTATATATATAGCCATCTAGTAAAAACTGAACTGATTTAATTAAGGTCGAAATAATAATAATTTTTTGGACGGGTCAAGTTAGCAACCTTGGGTTTGAGGTGATGAAATTGAGGTATACATATTATATTTTAGACTAAAAGTGGTAGTTGAAGATTTTAAGATGGCGGTTGTGCGACATCTTGATTTTTTTAAATATAATAGGGAATTACGAGATAACTCACTTTAATGCCCTTAATGAGTACTTTATGACCATAAAATATAAAATAGACTTATTTCAAAACGACAACATTGAAGCGGTTACAACTAATCATCAAAACTTAATAGTATATAACATCAATCTTCTTCTTTCTGCCAGTTCTCCATTTCAAAAGATAGTGATTTTATATTTTAGGGTTTATAGAATACTAATAAGGAGCTTCAAAATGAGGAACAACGCCCCCCATTCTATTCAAAAAATGTTCCAAAATGGCACCCGGCCGCCATTATAAAATTTTTAACTGCCGCTTTTAAGCTAAAATATAGTATCCATGCATAATTTCCATTACTCCAAATTTCAGCTTTCTTTCTTGGTCCTTTTAAAAAATAAGTATGGGGAGGTATATTAATAAATAGCTAAGGTGGAGCGAGCATTATGGTGCACTGACTTTAATGATCTAAAATGACAACAACTGGCAAAGCTTGAAACTTTTAAAAACTCGCTTTACTGGAAAATTACTTTTTTCTCCGCTTAAGAATGACTACATTGACTGTCAGAGATTTTGCGTATGTCAAACAGACTCGTCCAAGCAAATGTTGTCTAGCTTCGGGCTGAACCAATCTGGTCTACTGTAAGGTACCGTTCGGACCGAACAGAAATTCATTGTTGGAAAAAACCTAATTCATCCCCAGTTCCAACCCATATGACAAACAACGAAGCAACGGTAACGTTGCTATCAAAATGGCAACTGGTGAGCTTGATGCTATCGAAACACACAGTTACCCAGTCACCAGCGCAACGGCAGCGACTGTGAGGATATCCATTTCTCCTCGACGGGGAAATCGAAAATCATTCTAAATGTCTTATATATGCGCAGGAATTTATTTCTGAAATATGTCTAATAACTGCGAAGATTTACCTGGGCTAAGAGTATATAAATATACTACTCTACAAATTTTTCAAAAATGAACAGGTATCTCTGGATCGTCAATAAACGAAGTTGGAATAATTTGTTTTTGTTTACCTTTTTGTCCCAAGCACTACCGTCACTGGACCGATTTTCAAAAACTACTAAGCTTTTTTGTTTTTAGCATAATAGTAGCCTTGTGTGGAAATTTCAACATTCGAATGGCACCTTTCAAGTTATAGACAAGAATTAGCGGACAAGCTGACCGACAGACATGGAAACAAGCAACATGGTTTTTCGTTATCTACATGCCATACAACGTTCAACTTTTTCTCGATTGCAATACTTCCCCGCATTGTATGACACATTCAACGTGTTACATCGTACTTGCAAAGGAATCCCATTTTTATGAGTATGAATCATTGCAAATTGTATCACCTTTTTACATCCTACGTCACTGGGCGAGGAAGTATTGTAATCGCGAAGCATTTCGAAAATGAAACATTACGTTTTTTGTATGTTAGTAGTACTGCTCGGATTGTGATAAAATTTTCACACAAAGTTACTACTATGCCAAGGACTGAAAAACTTTTGCAAATCGTTCCAGTGGCGGTGGATCTAGGGCCAAAAACACAAACATTGTTTTGGTGCTGGCAATTTATACGTTTTCAACCCATGTAATTTTATGCACCTATTAGACATATTTCATAAATCGAATATTTCCCCGTACATTTGCCCTGAAAAGTCGAATAATAAATACATATCACCGATGAATGCGTGCCAGACAACTCAACGAGTGCACGCCTCCCTGCTTTGGATGGATAGCCGAGCCATAATGCGTGATTTCGTATTGAATACAGTTTTCAAAGTTGAGTCATTTATTTTAACAGCTTACCAAAAATTACCTATACATATAAAAGATGCATAATAAGAGAGTTAGTTTACATTCTTGAAAATTATTTAAAAAAATCATTATCAAGTTAAATGGATACCGTTTTTACAAATACTGCTCAAAATTGTCCCCATTTGTTCGATTAACGCAATATCTTCAAAAACAAAATCGTGGTGTCCACGAATGAATTAAATCACAAGAATTTTCAGTGCGCTGTTGAAGTTCTTCCAGAGTATTTACTGCTCTATCATGATACACCAACTCTTTCATATGGCCCCACAGAAAAAATCGCAAGGCGTTAAATCCGGGGAGCGAGCCGGACAAGAAATATATCCATTCCATCCTATCCATCTATTCGAAAACTCATTATTTAGATGTTCATGAACTTCTCGTCTAAAATCTGGTAGAGCCCCATCTGTAGAAACCACATATTCTGTCTCACATTTAGAGGAATATCTAAAAATTGTGGCAAATTTTTTCGAAAAAAATCTAATTACATTTTACCGGTCAGTCGAGGTGGAAAATAGTAGGGCCCAATAAGCATGTCATTTACTACGCCAGCCCAAAGATTTAATGAAAATATGTGTAGAAAGTGAGTTCTTTTTACAGCATGCGGATTTTCTACTTCCCAAACATGATTGTTGTGGAAATTGTGCACTCCATGTCGTGTAAATGTGGCCCTTTTCATTTCTGCCGAACTATTCTAAAGCCCACTGGATAATACTGTTCTTGTCGTATTGTCTTCCACTTTACTATGAGAAACTTCAATTTGAACTGATATGGCTCTAGCACTCATTGTTGGGTCGTCTTCGACCATTTCTAAAATATCTTCCTCAATTTGTAACATTTCAGGTTGAGCAGGTCTTCCAGTGTGACCTCCTCGATGTTCTTCTAAATATCCTGTGTCAGGCAGTCTAATAACTAAATTTACAAACAAATCTGTGGGGCCAGATGATTTCTTAAAGGAATCCTTTCCGCGTACCGCAGCTGCATTTTGTTGGCACTCTTCGTATGTTAGTATTATGTCCACTAGTTCATTGTTTTCGTAAAAATGGGCCATTTATTCACACAAAATAACCAGACAAATGATAGTATAAGTAGTATAAGCACTATTAAAAGACTGATACAACTGAGCGAACCAAAGACTCGTACTGAAAACCATACAATAATACAAAAAGTTTGCCAAATTTAGATAAACGATTTTACACGGCAGTGGTCGATAATATCAAAAAATCTGTGTAATAACATTCTTATTTTATAAAATGTTTAATCTCTTACTACTCTCTTATTACGCAACTTTTATATAGGTAAAGGTAAAGGTAGGTATATCTATAACTCCTTTTAACGAGTCCTAGAAGCAGTTAAAATAAATGAATCAACTTTGACACCCTGTATAACCCCGTGTTGTATTGTGACGTTGCTGCATAGTCGGCACTGTTGGTCGGGCGGTAGGCTAGATCGTATTGTCGGACTATGAACTGATTTAATTTTAATTCCTTTGTCTTACATATTCGTATCCAATGTTTATTTAAGAGGGACTAACTTATACCGAATATAATCCCTTATGAAATGGTGACAGCGTTGCGTACGAAGTGCGGGGTCAACCTACTTGACGTCATTTTTTATTTAATACGCAAGTATTTACAATCGTGGCGTTTTTCTTGTATCCCTTTTTAATGTAAATTTTATATATGTTTGTTCTGACTTGTCCTATACCGCCTGGTCTATTCGATAATTAAGATCTATTTTATACTATTCCAAAAATGAAACTCGTTGAGTATTATTTATCGCTGAATACTTAATATTCCAAGATCGAACGGAATATTCGTTCTACCTCACCAGTTACATAATAGCTGTTTCGGCAATCATAAACACAAAATCTCACCTTTATGAAAGTACAATGACCCACTTATCCTATCGTTCTAGCCACATAATAGTAGCGCCGGATATTTTAATAGCGTTTACTCTGGTTTTGCTAATTCAATCGATACAAATGTTCCGGTATGTTGCAGCAAAGCTGCGCTAGTCGCTGCTCGATTTCGCTTTCTTTTTACTGATATATGGGAGATATGAGCATGTTGTATGCAATTCTGAAAGTAACAGAATGCCTTCAAAGCAAGTGGCGTTTGGTGCTCGGTAGAGTACATTGCACTGTACTATCACAACGGTCCAGGGCATAGACGCAACTATTAATTTTTCTATTACGTTTCTCGTTCTCGGAGTGTAGGTGCATCAAACGGATGTATAAACGAAAAAAATATTAACTCAAAGTGAAATATACAGGGTGATTCAAAGAGTAATGGCATTATTTCAAATGCAGAAAGTGGGCTCAAAAAACACTACGGTACTACGGAGGGGAAAAAGGGTCAAGGGTGTGTTGAAGTTATAATTTCAAAATCATGAAAAACGAAAACTCTGGATTGGATAAAGGTATATCGACTAAAGGGTATTACATACCTAGTAAACCTTATTTCACGAGTATCCATCACGCTTTGAGGTGAACAACTGATCACAAAAGC